AAAAAAAAATTCAATTAGTGATTTTCCTTAAGAATATCAGTGGGTCATTCCCCCCTATTTCAAGACAATTTTATCTCCTGGCTCATTATCACTCTTGCCATTACTACCCTTTTCTTAACCTTAGCGAATGCCTATATATATATACACATAGAGGACCCAGGCCGCTCAATTCTTGACCTCTTCTCGCCCAGTGATCTTTTCCACCCCACCTCAACCACTCACTTCTATACCTTAGATCTAATCATTACTTATGGGTGTAACTGCTTCCAAATCTCAATTTCGTGTTTCTCGTTGTCTGACCACTTTCCCCTACCTTTCTAGTTTACTCCCCAACTCCAAAAAACTTTTGGCATCCTACAATCAAACTACATACAATATTTACTTGCCAAAAATCCTGTCAGGTAATACAGAGGGCAAGAATTTTGTGAAATACAAAAAGGACGTTTAGGGACATACTATTCTTTAAGCAACAAACTAACTTCCACAAAACACAAACACACCATCGCATTTGCTCCACTAATTTATTTCTCACTGTTCTTCCCAACCTTGATGCTCTCATTCCCCTCCATACCCAGTGTAAATTCCATGCTCCATCACTGTAAATACTCCCATTCACATGTCTTTGATTCCCTTGCCCCTCTCACTTCCTTTTGGTCAAACTAAAACATGGGCTAACTCAACTTCTGCCCAATTTGAGTAGATGTAGACAAATCTACACAGCTGAATGAGACTGGTAAGCCTGTGTGTGCACACACAAGCCACACACATGTGCAGGCAGACTGACTGATCTCACTTTAAGTTCATGATCACTAGCCTCACGTGAATTCTAATGCTGCCTAGCAATCACATGTATCCTGCTTCATCACTCTCTCAGCCTCCCAAGTGACTAGTTCATACCTTTTCCTTGCTCCCCAAATCCCCAATAGTTCATGCTCCATTCTCAAGCTGAGAAAATTTTACTGACAAATTTTAAGCAATCAAGAAAGAACTTCCACAGACTCCCCGCACTGCTTCTACCCACCTACCACTATCTCGCCCACATACTATGGCTTTCCTACTGCTTCACAGATGAAATATCCGTGCTCCTAGCTAAAATTAATCCCTCCACTTGTGCACTAGATCCCCTTGCCTTTGCCTCCTCAAGAATATCTTTCCTGCAAGTCTCCCCTCCCTCTCTGTCTTGCATGAACAACCTTTTACTCCCTCTTGGGTCATTTTCATTAGCAAATAAACAGGCTGGTTTCTTTCCTGTCTTTAAAAAAAAAGAAAAAAAGCAATCACTTCTCTTGACCTGTTTTACCCTGTCAACTTCCACTCCATTTCTTTGCTCCCATTTGCAGGAAAATGTCTCAGAATAGTGCCATGCGGTCTTGGTCTCCAGTTTTCCTTCTGTCCTTTTTTTGGTTTTGTTTTTTAGCAGTAGGACCCTCACATCTTGATTTTATTAGCACTGACTGATCAAGTTTTTAACTCAAATGGGTGTAAACTTGGCAAACGGTATCGTTTATGATGACTACCTTAATTGTAACAAAAATAAAACATTTAAAAACTATTTGAATGTTAAGTTTTCCCTCCATTAAGGATTTGCCACCTTGAGTACCCCCATCTGCTTGAAACATGAACCTATGTTGACTCAGGTGAGGACCTACATAATGTATGTCAGACAGTCTGCATCCCGAAATCACCTCCCTTGCTTAGGGTCCCACACTAGCTGGTCTCCTGGAGAAGCAGCAGCAAGTTCTGGGAGTCAAGCAGAGCAATAATCCATGTTAAGAATCCGAATTCTGGGATGGCTCCACATTTCTTCAAGAGCAGTCCACAGACTCTGCAAACAAGGGCTCTTGCATGTAGGCTCTCATTAGCTTTGCTTTGTTGTCACCCTGATCAAGGCTGACAGTCCACTGTCTGAGGTGTGGATTGAGCAATAAGCTTCTGAACATTGCAGATTCCCCTAAATTCTTTAAACTCTGCAAAGAAACTCTGTCCTCTTCCTCATCACTATTGAGACAATCAGCTATTGAGTCGTCATCATCTTTGTTTTCCACAGGCTTTATAGATTCTGCAGGAACAGCTGATCTTATTTTTTTCTCAACAGAACGAGTTTTAGAATTACATTGCTAGACAAAAGGAGTAAGTTTGCCTATAATAAAAAAACTTGTCCAAGGTTCATAGCTAGTAAGTGGCAGAGGCAGAATGTGAATCCAGGTCCAACTCTAAGACTGTCCTTTGTGCTTCCAGAAGCAGGTCACCGAGTGGTAGGGCATGTGGCAGGTTGGGTGGCAATATTTGGGCTTCTCCAAGCAGATCATGCAGATGACAGTGCTATAATTGAGTAACACCATGGTCTCCCCAAAGACTCCCTTCTGTACTTTCTTAAATCCACTGCAGTATGGGGTTTGCCCCCATCACTCCATCACAACTTATTTTATCAAGGTCACCAATGACTGCTCAGTGGCCAGAGCCAATGGTCAGCCCCCCAGACTCAATCCTACTTGACTTAGCATGAGCGTCTGACAAAATGGACCACTACCTTTTTCGGATGCACTTTTGTTACCAGGCTTCTCAGACACCGTGGTCTTACCTTTCTTCCCACCTCACTGGTCATGCCTTTCTAGCTGGTTCCTCCTCATCTTCCTCAGTTCTTCATGATGGGGTGCCCCAGGGACCAGTCTTAGCCTTTCTTCCCTTCGCCCTCTACATTCACTCTTATTGATCTGATTCAAAGTTACAGCTTTATATAACACCTATACGTTGTTAACTCAACAATTTTTCTCTCTAGCTAGACTTCTTTCCCAAGTTCCAGACTTATTTATTTCACTGCCGATTCAAACTTTCCATTGGGGTGTCTAATATACATCTCGAACTCAACGTGTCCAAAAGGGAACACTTTTTTCTTCCCCTACAAATCTGCCTTCCTTATCTCTTCTTTCTTATCTCTTCCTCTTCTGGCCTTCCTTATCTCAGTTGGTGGCAACTCCATACTCCCAGCTGCTCAAACCAAAGACCTTGAGTACTCCTGACTCTTTTCCTCTCACTTGCCATGGTCAATCCTTTAGGA